GGAGCTTCACATCGAGTGGCCGATTCAGGATGCGTGAGCGGAATTCGGATTGCTCAGGTACAGCCGTTGGTGCGCACCACTATCTCATGTGCTTGCCTTCAGCGTCTTGTGCAAACTAGTTGGAGCTTCACATCGAGTGGCCGATTCAGGATGCGTGAGCGGAATCCGGATTGCTCAGGTACAGCCGTTGGTGCGCACCACTATCTCATGTGCTTGCCTTCAGCGTCTTGTGCAAACTAGGTGGAGCTTCACATCGGATGCCCGATTTCGTTGACGTAGGATGGATGAAGAGGAAGTGAGATTAATGTATACCCGATGCAGGATTCGAACCTACGACCATCTGCTCCGTAGGCAGACATTCTATCCAGCTTCTTGTGCAAACTAGTTGGAGCTTCACATCGGATGCCCGATTTCGTTGACGTAGGATGGATGAAGAGGAAGTGAGATCAATGTATACCCGATGCAGGATTCGAACCTCCGACCATCTGCTCCGTAGGCAGACACTCTATCCAGCTGAACTAATCGGACAATGAAGCTAGCCACTTTGATTGATATTAAAGTTGAATACTCTTCCGAAATGGTTTAGGCGGTAATTGGTCAATCCGTCAGGATACGTGAGCGGAATTCGGAATCCTCAGGGACAGCCGTTGGTGCGCACCACTATCTCATGTGCTTGTCTTCAGCGTCTTGTGCAAACTAGTTGGCGCTTCACATCGAGTGGCCGATTCAGGATGCGTGAGCGGAATCCGGATTGCTCAGGTACAGCCGTCGGTGCGCACCACTATCTCATGTGCTTGCCTTCAGCGTCTTCTGCAAACTAGTTGGAGCTTCACATCGAGTGGCCGATTCAGGATGCGTGAGCGGAATCCGGATTGCTCAGGTACAGCCGTTGGTGCGCACCACTATCTCATGTGCTCGCCTTCAGCGTCTTGTGCAAACTAGTTGGAGCTTCACATCGAGTGGCCGATTCAGGATGCGTGAGCGGAATTCGGATTGCTCAGGTACAGCCGTTGGTGCGCACCACTATCTCATGTGCTTGCCTTCAGCGTCTTGTGCAAACTAGTTGGAGCTTCACATCGAGTGGCCGATTCACGATGCGTGAGCGGAATCCGGATTGCTCACGTACAGCCGTCGGTGCGCACCACTATCTCATGTGCTTGCCTTCAGCGTCTTGTGCAAACTATGTGGAGCTTCACATCGGATGCCCGATTTCGTTGACGTAGATGGATGGAGAGGAGTGAGGTTAATGTATACCCGA